GTTGTATTGCTGGGAGTGGAATTGCTTGTTGTGGAATTGCTTGCTGTGGTTCGTTCGGTACATTTCTCTGTTGATTTAGGGTTGTTAATAATTGCTGTTGAAGTGGTAGTGCAAACATGTTTTGAAATTGTGCAATACTCTGAGCTTGTACCCACATATTCCTCATTTCTTGAAGGGCTTGATCTACTCCTGTTGTTTCATTCTGTTGCACAGGATTTCTATCATTTCTATTGTTGTTAAACTTCCGAAAATTGAATGTCCCTTGATTTGGCGATTGGTTGCGGAATTGAGTTACACTTTGATTTACTGGTGGTGGTTCACTGACATAAAATTTACATAACGTTGTGTGATGTCGAGCATTGCATTTTTTACAGTTTGTTGGGATTCTACATTGTGCTACAGCATGTCCACTACGTAGACAATTTAGACATAATCTTTCTTGATTAACGGCTTTTCGTTTCTCCTCATGTGTTTTTGGACAGTAAAATATTGAATGTTGTTCTTTACAATATATACATGTAAACCGTCTATTTGGATTCGTTGTGTAGTTTGGTTTTGAATTGTTTCGGTATGCTGGTTGATTTGTTTGAAAATTTTGATTACTTGGGTTCACGTTGCTTGTACTGGGTATTTCATTTAGGCTTGTGTTGTTTGTATTTAGATTACTTGTGTTGCTGGATGTTAATTCCGTTTGATTTGTTGTATGTGATGGTTGAGTTTTTTCTCCTGCTCTGAATGAGAGAAGTTTTTGTGTATATTCGGGATCGCGCCTCCGTGCATTATCTGAAAAGAAACTTAATAGCCACCTATATCTTAGTTCTGGGTCCTCTTCCCAAGTGTCTAATACTTCTTGCGTTAATTCCGAATCATTTTTCATTGAATTTTTAACGGTTTCCATGAATGTGTCCTGGCTCAAATGCTCTAGTATAGATGGCCATACTTTTCTATGTGTGTGTTTTCGATCAGTTGTCAAGTTATTCAGACTAATTACTATTTTTAGTACTTCTCTCATGTATTCTGCCGCTTGTTCAAATGACCC